CTCACTCATCACCGAAGCCTGTGCCCTCATCTGCAGGATGGACTGGTACTTGGGAGCAATGGCAGCCACGGGTGGAGAGGGCTTGGTGCCATCTGAGCTCATTGGATGTGTCACCTACTCCCCTGCGTTGCCATTTACTCTCCCAAGCTCCGTGGACGCCTCCCGCTGCTGTGGCCATCAGACCTTACGCCTCTCTAGCGTCTGGATGGGGGGTGTGGACCTAGAGGGCCCAGGGCTGAGCGGACGGGCCGGCTCAGCGATGGGCCCGGGCGCTGCATGGTTGTGGCGAGCGGTCGGAGCAGCAGGAATCGTGGCTTCCCCCTTGTTCGCGATGCTGTGTCACCAAACAACAGGGAAATGCCCGCGAGGAGTTTGTGGGGACCCCGAAGGTAGAAGGGTAGATTCCTCCGTGCTCAGCTAAGAGGAGCTCTGTGTCCGTCGAGCCGGGAGGTGTGGAGTCGAGGCTGAGACGGCAGACGAGCTGCCGCGATTCCTTGTGTCACCGGCTCCTCATCCTGCACAGCCTCCTGGGGAATCGGGCCACTGGGCTGTGTTCCCGCCCGCGGGGGCCCAGAGAGGGTGGCGCAGGTGGGCGTGGGGCTCCTGTGTCCGAGGCTTGGGCTTTCTGCCGGCTCCACGTGCCCTCCCCGGAACACGGAGGCGTGTGGCGCTGGGCCTTGGGCCGTCCGTCCCCGCGGCCCGCGGGGCGGCTCTCCTTGCTGCCAGTTCCCGTGGTTCCCGTGAGACCGGTGTGACCTCTCGCGCCCAGCAGACCTGCCCCCCAGTTGTCTTCTGACACTTACCGCGAGGTGTCCGGGCCGCTGGTTCCCGTTAGCGGTCCCCACCCCGAGTTTCCGACTCAGCGGGTGGCACCCATGCTGCTGGTCAGGCTCCCCTCAGTGGGGACCCCTGGCCTGCGTGGGGTCTCCCGTGCCGGACGGCCCGTGACCCATCTTGCACCCCGCTATACGCAGGCAATTGATATTTGTCATTTGATCCTTCGTCCGTTGGAGGATAGCATTGAGAACGCTGCGAGCTTGGTTCTTTTACCTTAAAGAAAAAGTAGGGCTTAGCGCAAAAGGCCACACGGTGTGTGATTCCGTTCACGTGAAATGTCCAGAAACAGGCACATCCTGAGAGACAGAAAGTGGGTCGGTGGTTGCCGGGGGGACGGGCCGTGGCAGATAGTGGGGACGGGGTAGCTGTTTGGGGTGAGAAGAGTTCTGCAATAGTGCTTTGGTCACACAATTCTGAAAGTACCACAGCCACTGGGCTGTGTGCGTGGAGCGGGCGAGCCCCCTTCTGGCAGAATGCTGTCCCCAGAGAGCCGTGGCTACGAAACTGAGGTTAGGGCCCAAGGTCCTTGGGGTTGTTTCGACCATCACGGAGTGCGGGACGGGACCGGAGGCTCTGCACTAGGACCCGCCCCCCGCCCACCCCCTTCACCCCCCTCACCCCCAGGGTCTGTTGTAAAGCCTGGCCTGAGAGGTGCGGTCACTGCCGCAGAGCAGCTGTTCGCGGCTCTGAACCTGACCTCTCGGCACCGCGCACGCCTTCTCTGTGCCGCAGCAGGTGCGGTGCTCGCATCAGAGAAGCAGCGTGCCAGAGAAAGGCCACTCGCCGCATCTGGTCCTGCTTTTTTCAAGGTCTGGGGTCAGGGCTGTCCGGACCCCGGTGAGAGGCCTGGAGCGAGCCCTTGGCCTCCTCTGTGAGGAAGGAGCAACAGTGAGCCCCCCGCCGCCCCGCCCCGTGTGACAGGCATTGTGGGGACCTGGCGTGA